CACTTTTTTTTTCATCTCCGCAAAAATGTTTTTTAGAGCTCTATAAAAATGACAAGATGTCATTCTCGTCCTTTTAAAAATGAAGCCGATTCGGATCTCTCCTCTTCATGTATCACTTCCGCGATCTCCGTGACTGTGGAAAAAGGAGAAAATGAAGTGGCGGTGGCGGTGGCGATGCGGGAGTGAGAGAGAGAGAGAGAGAGAGAGTGCGAGCGAGAGGGGAGGGGAGGGGATCCTTGAGCCGCGCAAGAGTCGGCGCCGAGCCGATTACCAGTGAGGATCAGGCGTCGTTTCCACCACGCTCCACTCACTGTGCTGGAGCTCTCTCTGATGGTGGTGGCACACCAACCGGTTTTCCCTTAGCCAACAGAGACAGAGACTCAAGCAAAAGTAGTCAAGAACCCCGCGTGTGCGCAAGTTTTATACCACCCGATCATTTTTTTTTAATTCTCTCGAGCCCTCGTTTCTCCTACATATCCGATTCATGCGCGTGTTGGTTATGCCGGAGATCGAATCATTAACGAGAATCAAATATCCCCCTCCCCCCCGGTTTTCATTCTCATTCCCCGTGCAATTCACAAATTTTTGTCGAAACCCCCTCACAAATAGATAAAAATCACCCGAAACGAGCCAGGAATTCACTCATTCCTCACTAAATTAACATGGAGACGAGTCAATAAATCGATCGGATTTTCGAGGGAATATTCTTTAATGTCTCGTTCCGTAGGTTTTTAATTAGTCCTATAGGAACTCGTAAAGCATGATGAGGGAGAGAAAAAAAAACAGGAAAAAAAACAATAAAATCATTAATATTGAATTAATGATTTCGGTTTCACTTTATTGCCCGTGCTCGGGCGACAAACGATATATGTTATAATATTTCGTTGATCATCCCGATGAGATAAGATTGAAATACACGAGTCAAGACCGACATTCGCCTCTTTCCCCCCAGCCCCTGACGTCCTAAGCCCACTGTGGAATTCGGGACTCACTTTGGGACCCTCGATCAATCGTTTGGGCGTTCCGTCTCGGGGGCCCCACCTCCCCCTCCCCTCCCCCCAGCCCCTCTCGCCTTCTTTCGCCGTCTACCGTACCCCACATGTATACACAAAACATATATAAGACACGGTGGAACTGCGCGAGAAGCAACAGGTGCCGTTTAGAGGGGTTCTAGGAACAGCTACAGATGTCTTGGGTATTTGGAAATAGGGGGGAAAATCTTTTTTTTTCTAATCATTCGATAATTGAACAGAGTGGAACAATCACTGGCTCCACTAATGAGGGAAATTTCTTGGAGTTTACACCATGAAAAATGTGGACAGGGAAAGGAAATGTAGAAATGAATACCACAAACTCACTTATTTGGAATAAATAAACAAATTTCTTAAAATAAAAATAGGGAATTTATAAATTAAAAACATTTGGACTGAACACATTCACAAGGAATGAATTAATTGAGGGATTTAATTGAGCCATTGTGTGAGGTAATATACTTTTAATAACAAAGAAGTAATGAACTATATTCAGATGAAATTATAAATGTTGAAATATCGAGAATCCAGGAACAAGAATGTTCTAAATCTAAAAATCTAACAGTTATGACCTCAAGAACGGATATTTCCTTGAGATAATTTGATTTATGTCCATTCATGATTCAAAAATGGCGATCTTGGAAGATTACGACCACTTCCTATAAATGATTTATGGAGAGTCAGTTGCTCACCCTGAATACTCTATTTCAAAACTGTAAAAAAATTACGCGTATTAAAAATTCGACCAGAAATCCATTTGCCGCGGAAAAAATTGATTTCCGAAAATTTTAATGACTGCTATTATTTTCTCCTCTGAAAGAAATGTCAAAAGAGAAAGTCATTCCTCTTGAAATGGTTTTTTATTTATTTAAACCTCTTAAAATACGGTGTGAATAACGCTAATGATCCATTAATTTCTTAAAATTTTTCCCACGCAATTTGATTGACAAATTGACAATTATGAAATTAAAATTAACAAAATTGTTCTTGAAATCACAACACTGTTCTTGATTGAAGATCAGCATGACACGGCAACTTGCAGCTACTATAATTAAGGAGGCAGATAAATTTCACCACAACGGAAAAAAAGCAATCGGCTATTGCCCAATAGTCGCCCAGATATTAGACAAAAGAATTTAATCAAATAGAAAGTCTTTCATCTCTATCTTAAAAATTTCTGGCACAACACGATTCTCTTCATCCGATCTAGGGTGAAATTTCCCTTGGCAAGCTTTCATGTCATCGTGTTCTCGGCGAAGTGAATGTGAAAAAATCCATTGTTCGGCGGCAACAAATTGCACGGAGGGCGATAATTACCGAGAGGAAGACATTTTCTCTTTTATGGTTCAATATGGAGCTGGCCGAGAGGGAGGGGAGGAGAAACGAGCGGATAATGGCTGCACCGTAGAAAAATCGTGATAAATATTTTTCTCCTTATAAACTGAAGCAATTTACGTAAGAGAAATATATGGCATGTGTCACGTACGTCTAATTGCATAATTAGAAGGAAAATGGGGGGGAAAAAATTAGTCAGGCGCTAGTTTTTTTTCCTCTGGTGTAACTGCCTTTTGGGAATAAATTCATTACGTCGATCTGAGGTGGAGAAGAAAAATATTATTATTAATATTTTTTAATATATAAAATATAATGCGTAATTTATTAAATCAGATGGGGAATAAATTGTTGAACTTATTGACGTGGACATTATGCGTTGAGTGTGTCTGCAAAAACCTTTTTAAATATTTTTTATTATGTAAAAAATGAATGAAAAAAAACAAAAATTAATTCTAAGTTATTACAATTCCGGTATTGTTCCAAGAGTTGAGTGATTCAACCATTTTTAACGACTTTATCCCTTTTTCACTTCCGAAATAGCTAAAAATAATCGTCCCAATCAGCCTGGACACATTTCTTCACATTTTCCAACTAATTAAAAAGCTAAAAAATTACATAATTAAAAAAAAAGTAATAATTCTCCGAAAAAACGTTTCTTCACATTTCTCAACTAATTAAAAAGGTAAAAAATTACATAATTGGAAAGAAAATTGTCATTAAAAAATTAGTATCAAGCGCTAGTTCATTCCCCAATGCAATTGCCTTTCAGGATACATTGATCGGGTCGATCTGCCTGTGGAATGCGCAATTTATGAAATCAGTTTGAGAAAAAAACATGTTCAACTGATTAATGTGGAAATCACAAGTTTAATGTGTCTGCAAAGAACTTTAAAAAATGACTTCAATGTCAAAGCAACTTTGTTGCATTAACTGTGTCTTACCACGATGGTATACAATAACGTGTGGTTACCATTTATTTTTTACCAGTCAAATAAATATCCGCGGAAAGTTAAACTCTTGAAATGGATGGGGTTTGAGATAAAGCGCTCGAGATAACGACCGCCTTATGTGTGTGTATCTCGTTATTTCCAATGCACTGTTACTTCTCTACCCCGTGTGCACGTGGGGTTTTTTTATCCTCCTCCTTCCTCCCCTCCCCCCTCTCCCCACCCCATCCCCCTTTAGCCGAAAGATTTCAACGCAGTGTAAAGCGAAGAGTCATTCCAAATCGCGATTCACGTATTACCTCCTCCTGTCTCACGTAATCGAGCGAAGTAATTATACGAATCCGGCAAACGTTTTTATACGGCGAGTTGTGGAGTTCATGGCTGAATTTTTCTTAATACAGAAGTATTAGTGTCGTGACTGGTTAATGGATGTTATTAACAAAAAAGTCGGAAAGATTGGATGGGGTTACACCATTCCAATGGCTCATTGAATATTTTTTTTCAGTGATTGAAACAGTTGTCAAGGATAAATCAAGAAAAATTAACTAATTAAGGGGAGAAATTATCCCGAAATGAGTTTTTTTCGTCGATTCAGGAATTCTTACAACGCTTGGAGACATTTGTTGTATATTCTTCTAGATTTTTATCCGATCAGATGGAAGGAACGAGCAAAGAAGTTGATGCTTCAAATTCAACATTTGGGGTTTTGGGAATTGAATGACTTATTTTGTATATTCATTTACATTTTCATCATTGGAAAGGAATTAATAATATTTTGACAGCTGGGGTCGACACTCGTGGGCAAAGTGTTCTTTGGCCCTCGCGAGGGTGGCACTGCACACCTCCCATGTACTGTTAGAAATTTTTTGAAATTTCATAGAAGATATTATAGAAAATCGTATTAAGGAAAAAAATGGTTATGAAATTTCGAGTTTTAAGTTTTCCCCTGAACTTTCCTGATTTGTATTGAATAATTCAACAATTTTTAACGACTTTACCTCCTGCTCACCTCCTAAATTCCCAAAAATATTCATCCCAGCCAGCCCGATCGCTTCGCCTTCCCCGAAAAAAGTTTCTCCACATTTTTCAACTAATTAAAAAGGTCAAAAAATCTGAAGGCTGGATGAATACAAAACAAGGAAAAAATTCACCGAAAATTCGATGATTTACCATTGCTACCGGCTTCAATAAATATTTATAGAAATCGCGTGACCGAGTATTTTGGCGCGGCGCAAGAGAGCGCCAACTCTTGCGTGACCGAAAAAAATATTCTTTTGCCGGGCGTAATTCACTCGCGTAATAAATAAGGTCTCGTAGTGAATTCCCGAGTGGTTAAAAAAAATCCAACTAGAGTGGAGAAAGAATGATGCAGAGTTGGTGTTGAGAATGAGCACAAAAAGGCCCCTAGAAACTGAGAAAAAATTCCGAACAAAAGATCCTGCTACGATAAATAAACACGAAAAAAGAACCGTGATATATCAATGCGCAATTGATTAATCATATCTGTTATCCCCGATGTTAATTCAAACTTGAATCTCGCGTGTGTGCACAAATAATCAGCAAAAATGAGAGATAAGGGTCTTGAATGGGTGCCCGTAGTGGGGGGATATTGGGTGTTTCCGTACCCACTACTTAATTCATTTTCTTATTACGACGTTGAATAAAATGACGTTAAATTTGATTACAGGTTCGTGTAACGGTCCTCGACAAAAACGACGTGGCACCCTCTTGGATGCCGGGACCGTGGCGATTTGAGGTGTCTGAGGAGGCGCCACCGGGCACAGTAGTCACGATATTAAAGGCCCTTGATCCTGATACAATTGGCACCCTCAGATACACATTAGTATCGTTGAATAAAAAATCACTGATTGACGAAGAGGATTCAACGCACGACGTTGATACCGGCGAAGTGGAGAGACAATTTCGTTTGGACGCTGTTACCGGACAGTTGAGACTCGTCGAGGCACTTGACAGAGAGACCCAAGAGAAGTATGTACTGAGGGTTCGAGCCGACGATGGAATTCAACACACCGATATTAATCTAATTGTCCAGGTAAGGGAAAAAATCAAATTAAAAAGCCCCTCACAAATAACCATCAGAGGAACAATAGCTAATATCCTAGCTGAATTTATCTCGTACTGTCTGCAACATCTCTTCCCTCTCCTCCTCCTCATCTTCCCCCTCGAGAAAAACTCTCCAACCCTCTTCTTCCCATAACTCAAGGACTTAACTCCCTTGAAGAAAAAAAGTTGAACGGTAAACCCATCACAAATTACGAGTTACCCATGGTCACCTCTAATACCCCCGGCATCCCCGTGTCTATTCGTATACGGCTAGAGCAGGAAGTCGCGCGTGACCTCTCGGTTGATCCCCCTCGGGGTGCGAGGAGTCGCGTGGGTCGGGGAGTACTGGAGGATCGTGTGGTTGGCTTTGTGAGAGACAGCAAAAATATTCAGTTGTTTCTCTCACACTCGGTTACCCTCGTACAAAGGCTGATACCGAAAAGAGTAAATAAATTTTAAGGAGCTCATGAGGACCCTTCGATAATCCGTAAAAATAGTTTTTATGGGGTTTAATGAAACTCTCTCACCAGTTTGTCATGGCATTTGTTTCAATTCGCGACTTTCCCTGTAGATCTTCATTTCCAAAAATTTCCGGAAAAGAAAATTGACGCACCTCCGAATACGACGAGTCGCGTGGGTCAGGGTACCGGAGGGCCATGCGCGATTGCCATTGCGAGCGACAGCAAAAATAATCAGTCGTATCCCCATACAGAGACAACCGGCGAAAAACCCAAATAAATAGTCTTTTAACGAGCCCATGAGGGCCGTCCGACAATCCGCAAAAATAGTCCTCATGATGTCTAATGGGTTGAATTCTTTGGGGGGCCCTGGGGGGCATATTGCCCCCCTCTCTCACTCAGCCGCCCGGTGATTTTTCGTTTCTCTTAAAAGGCCGAAGGAATTCACGAATCATAGCTCGCACTCTCTCAGCAGCATCCGAATCCGGCGAGTCCGAGACAGACACCCGACATATTAAGTCCACCTTGGAATTCTACTCTACCTTTATACCTTTGTCGATCATCCACGTTTGGGTAGGCCTGCGCTCCTCGTTCGTTCCTTGAACCGTTCACCTCTTCCATCTTGAAGAATACACGGCCTCCCCATGGCTCCTCTCGACCGGTATCCATCAGGTACCTGTGCTAGTTTTTGTCCAACTATACCAAACGTCGTCAAGTGTCCCTCTTCCCCTCGGCTCGTCATTCCTCCCTCCACTTCATCATCCTCTTTTTATCATTACGAAAGTTCTTTTTGTTGCGACCCATCCTTGCATCGAACAAACCGTATGGCAACCGTTTTCATTACAGTATCACGTACAAGTGAAGACTGTTAATCGGAAATGCCCCCCCCCGTCAGCCTAGAGAATAACGGTCAAGCCCACTTCTGTGCCTCGTAGTCTATCACAATTGCAGGATTGCGGTGCTATCGGTGGATTAATGGGAAATATGGATTTACTTTTTGCTTCAGGTGACCGACACCAACGACAATGCACCGGTCTTCCAGTCCATGGCTTACTCCTTTGATGTACCTGAGAATGTACCCAGGGGCAGTCGTGTTGGACAAGTTGTGGCTGTTGATGCTGATGGAGATGGGGACAATAGTCGCATCAGTTATGCACTCATTTCCGACTGGGCGAATGATGTTTTCTCGCTGAATCCCAGTACTGGCGTCTTTACGCTTACTTCTAGTCTTGACTATGAACAGGTGAGTTATTTTTTTTATGAATTGAGAATATTTTTTTTATTTTAAGACTATTTTTGCATTTTTTTGTCTGCTGAACTGTAAGATAATATGGAAGTTCTTCGATGAATTAATAGGACAGACAGAAATTTTACGAGGAAGTCCGGCAGGAATTCTTGGGGGAGTGAAATTCAAAGTGAAGTTTAAACTAAATTCAAGTGAAGTCAAATATTCGCCGTTCTGTAAATTATTCATTCTTACCAGACGAATTTCCCCAATTGGTTTCAATGCTCTAGCGCTTCACTGCATTCTCGAAGAAAAATTTCCCCACGAGAATTTTTTTAATAGTCTTCACCTTTTTTGTTCGTACCGTTCGTAATTTTAGAATGAGATTTCCTATCGCCTCTATCACTGCAATAAAGCGTCCCCAAACAAGGAAAATCATTCTCAAGTGATAAACATCATTCTTCATTTTACAAGAACACAAATTATTCCCCGAAGCACAAAGAAAACGTGAAAAGGGCCCCCAGAACCCCGAACTTTCCCATTCGTCCCTAAAATTCCAAATCCCCGAAGGTCCATCATACCTTCCTCACCGCCATAAATTCTCCCGTGCGCGCATCAATATTCCTAATTCGAGAAAACGTACATTAAGACGTGAACGAGGATTTAAACCCCCGGCATTCAAAAGCTCTAAAATCAAATTTATGGCAATGTTCACGATTAAATAACTCGACAAACGTGATTTTTCTCTGACCCCGCGTGAATTCACCGCCTTCTACTTCCCTCACCAATGAATGAAGAGACCGTAAAAGATACGACTGCCGAGTCGAGAGGAATAAAAAAAAATTCAGGGTGTATTCTCCTCATACCCGGAGGGCTCAAAAAACTTTGTCGAATTTTTGGGGCGCACTGGAATCATTATATACCGTAGGCTTTTAGGGCTACAAACGAAAACGAGACCGAAGGAGCCTAGAATTTTCTGATGGCTAATGCCAGTGTACCGGGGCCAAACCCCAGTGGACAACAGACGAAGAGGAAGACGAATAGCGTCTGCATCATCTCTCTTCCCCCTTTCCCTCGCCCAAACCCTCTCACTCTATCCCGCAAAACCCACGAAAGTGGAGTCCAGGTTTTTGCGTGCGTGAAAGGGTGAACGCACCGCATTGCGTTCCAACACCGAAAACTTCTCCCAATGATGAAAAAGGGGAATGAAACTAAACTTTTCGACAGAGTGATGTTGGGGGGGGGGAAGAAAAAAAGTGAGACGAGGAATTGGGGCTTTAGATGAAAAAGAATGAAAAATAGAGAGATGCTTTAAGAACCGTTTATAGAACCCTTCATCAAGCTAAACGTCCGTACAGATACACCGAAGATTACTGACTCGGGCTCGGCAGTTGGAGGGCCCCATGAAATAGTGGATGCATTGAAGGAACGCCATTGGCGAAAACGATAACCCCAGGAGTGCAGAAGGAGTAAAATAAAAAACAGAAGTGATTGCCCAAAAAAATGGTTGCATCTTCACTCTTGTGAAAAAAATAACACGGTATAACACTTCTCCAGGAGGGCCCACACCCTGCCCTTGCCAAACAAAATCGGTCCTTGTAAAAGTCCTCTAAGTATAGAGTTCAATGAATGACTCAAGAAGAACTTTGGCATTACTCATCTCCAAGATTATGTTCACCTCTCTTTTGTGGAGTTATATTGGGCCCCACCAGTTGTAAACACCCTCTGAACATTTTCAAATTTTATCGTTCGCTTCCTCTTCTCTCCTCTCAATCCACGAGCTTCCAAACAAGACGGAAGAAACATCGGGGAAGAAACATCAGCAAAATGCCAAGCTGTAATATCGTTTACACGATTCCGCAACTGGTGTTCCACACGAGTCCATTGCTCAGTAAATAAAGAATATTTATGGTGTCGGTGGGAGATAAATATTTATAAGTTTGAGTTAACAATTTACTCGAGTTTATGAATAATTTAACTCGACAATTGATTGTTTTTTTTTTCTTTTTTATCTGTCTAATGCTGAAGCATGGCTGGGCGCTCCTTGGGGCGGCTTTGATGGCTCGACACATCATCAATCAATTAATTTATCATGCCAAATCAATGCATAAATCATAGCCTTGCCTTTTTTGGATTAAAGACAAATGGAATATGAGAATGGAATTTATCTCGGGGCTACGGTATATCCGGGGGTTTCAGCAACTGGTCTTCGCGCCAGTCAATATCTTCAACTGAATTAATATTTATGATATTCAATGGTAAAAAATAAAAGCATCTTATGTTTGCGGAATAGATAAAGTCCTTAACTTTATTGGCAATTTGAATAGACGACTTGGTGCCTTTCTGCTGTTATTTTTTGCCCATTTTTCTCATGATCATCGCACTGTGTCGTTACTCGGGTTCATTTACAAGGGGGGGAGGGGGGGGAGGGGGGTTGGCTTGTGGATGTGTTACTGAATGTACGATAATTTGAAAACGGGTTTTTCTTGGATTGCAGGTCCAGCACTACATCCTGGTTGTACAGGCAACTGATTCTGGTGTACCAGCATTATCAACTACCGTCACGGTCTACTGCAATGTTGTTGACTTGAACGACAATACACCGGTATTCGAGCCGGGTCCACATGGCACTGATGTACCCGAGAATGCGACAATTGGCACTGCTGTACTCTCGGTTATTGCCCAGGATCTTGATTCCGGGGACAATGGACGGGTCATTTATGATGTTTTGAGTGGCGATGATGAGGGGGTTTTTGGGGTCGCGGAGAACGGCACTGTCTTCACCAGGAAACAACTCGACAGGGAGGACAGGGCTATTTATAATCTTGTTATCAGGGCGAGGGATAGTCCAGCGTCACCTGCTAAACCACTCACTTCAACTGTTCAGGTATTTCTTAATTAAAGTTAATCGGGTTTATGGGCGGTGGTGTACGGGAAGTTGTACTTTTTGCGGGGTAATGAGCTCAGCGTGGTACTGGGTAATGGATTTTAAGAGTGGAGGAGGGTGGAAATGCTTGTTAGATGTCCGGGGATTTCATGGATCGCTCTGTGAGGAAATGTTGGAAGTTTTGTGCGAAACTTCATGAAGTACGAAATAAGCGACTTTACTGTTTCTCGCGGAGCATAATTCGTTCCCAAGAGAAATGCATAATTATCAGAAGTTCCGGTGAACTGGAGTTTTATTTTCAATATTGTGGTCTTGGATTAGATATGGGACGGAATTGCTCATTAAATTGAGGATTTAGATTCAAATTTCAAGAAAATCAAAGAATGTTGCTGGGAAAAAATTCGAGTTAATTCAAGTAAACATGTTCAAATGATGCCAATTATATTTTTGTGGAAGGTGGAACTGCTTGTTAGACATCCACGCATTTCAAGAAATATTGGAAATTTTGTTAAAAACTTCTATCTGCAAAATAAGAGGCGTTGCTGTTTCTTATATGCAACAAATCTGAGGATTCCAACGAAAACTTGAATCTTTATTTAATTTCTGTCACAAACATTCCAGAAAATCGAAGAATTTCGCTTCGAAAGAAATTAAAGGTCATCAATTATCGAAATCGGTTGCAGTTCTGAGAGAGTTTTAGCCTTTCTCGCAGAAAAAATTTTCGCATTCTGCAGAAAATTCAAAAAGATTCCCGAGAAATTTTGAAAATTGCAAAGGAGATCACGAGAATTACTTCTTTTCCGAATTACCGAGAGGGCGTCACAATTAATTATAAAACATGCTCATTGATAAATCGGAATAGAAGATCACAAGCGCTGAAAATTCAAACTTGCCTTCAATCTTCTAAAAAAATTCCGTCCCACCACCAAAGCATATTAAAACTCCACATTAACAATTGTAATCCCCAATTCAAAGAGACTTGCCTTTGAATTTTCGCTGAAATTCTCTGATACCACCGTTGCTCTTTAAATAGAGTAATTATCAGTCCCTGAATTTCTCTCTCTTCAATTTATTCCTTTATTCGAAGGTAACAATCGTCCTGCTGGACATAAACGACGTTGCCCCCGAGTTTATAACCCCAAATCAAACCTCAGTGATGGAAAACGCGCCAACGAACACGATTGTAATGGCAATAAAAGCGGTGGACAAGGACGAGGGTCGAAACGGTTACGTTGAGTACTCCCTGGAGGACACGTCAGTTCCGTTCAATCTCGGGGCAGTTGACGGCCTCCTCCGGGTGTCAGGACACCTCGATCGCGAGCGCAGGCAGAACTACACCCTCACGGTGACAGCACGCGACCGCGGCGAACCGCCGAAGTCATCGTCAGTGATCATAACTGTAATCGTCCTAGACGAGAACGACAACTCTCCGATATTCAATCCCAGGCAGTACTCTTCGACGGTAGCTGAGAACGCCAGCATCGGTGCGAGTGTTCTCCAGGTGTCAGCCACCGACAGGGACGAGGGGGCCAACGGCCGGGTGCGGTACAGCATCGCAATGGGCGACGAAAACCGGGACTTCACTATCTCCGAGGACTCTGGGGTCATCAGGGTCTCTAAAAACCTGAATTACGAGAGGAAGTCGCGGTACAGACTGACCGTCAAGGCCGAGGACTGCGCCACGGAGGTGGGGGAGAGCTCCCGGGAAGACACCGCTGAAGTCATCATTAATGTTCTGGATATTAATGATAATGCCCCGGTCTTCTTGGACTCACCGTATCTTGCGCATGTTATGGAGAATATGGTACCGCCTGGCGGTGGCTTCGTCATTCAGGTGAGGAGAAAAATCATTTTATACCGGCGTCTATATGTCATTGACCCTTTCTTTCGTAGGGGAGGTTGGGGTAAAATGGACACTTTTGACTTTTTTTAAAATGTTAATAAATTTAATAATTTTTGTCTCAATACAAAGAACAATTCTTTCACTTTGTGATGAGCCTAAACTGAGCTCAATTGATCAATTTGTTTCGGAGTTATGAATAATTTCAAAAAAGTCTAAAGTGTCCGTTTTACCCCACCCTCCCCTACTATTGTAGACGTCGAAATTCTAATAATTTCCCCATGAAATAGATAAAATTATCAATTCAATACGACTCGATTTTTTTTCACATTCTTTTTAATATTTTTCTTCAATACGTAAACAATACGGAACTGAATTAGATGTCAGGTGCATGTTCAAATATAGAGAGAACTATCCGGAATTTCAATAGGCTCTCAAGAAAGACATTATTAAACCTCATTAGTTTGATGGGTAGACCATTCACTTCAGTCATTCCCAACAAATGAATCGCCTCATCATAACGAGAAAACCCCATTGATCCAGCGATAAACTAAAATCTTGTACCTCTCCTGTTACTGTAACGTTAATATCCCCGATTTTACGTTGCCGGTTTGACCTCTGGCTCGATATGTCCCTTCACGTGCACACGCGACAAGCTGGGTGGGTGGGACAGTAGAAAGTGGCCTTCAACTCCGAAAATAAAAAGATGAGAGAGTGAAAAAAGGAGGAAGGTAAAGAGTGCAAAAAATCATATCAGTTTGAATGCCCAAACACTTTGTTGGATACATACGACCCGTAAAACGACGCATTTTATCGTATATAATGTTCGAGACTGGAATTTACGTGCAACTCATTTTCCATAAGTTAACGCGTAATGCAAAACCGTTTATACGAGACCAAGTGATACAGGTCAATTTATGAATACAATTTTTTGCCGGATTTTTTTGTGGCAAATCCTGGAAATTCTTAACGTCACTTACGTTTCCAGTGAAGTTATTCATATGATAAAATATCCCACATATTTCATTGATTTTTGTCTCAATTTGATGAAGAACTGTAAATTCAAGTTCAGTTATTCAGTGAACATTAAGAAAATTCAGGTGAATGTTTTTTTGGATTTTAAATTGGATGAGAACTCAACGCATTTTGGTACTGAATATTAATTTCCAATTAACTATTTTAATAAATTATGGGATTTACGTCTTTTTTTATTTGAATCCATTTCATTCTCTCGAATTCTACCTGCGACTGGGAATTTTCTCAGCTCATTCCCCTCAAATCAAATTTCATATCACTTTTCTGAAAGTTATTACCCGGTTCTTCACGAAATTCCATTTTATCAATAGTGGAGACCGATATTTTCAATTGATTGGGGAATATTTATTTGGAATTGCTAAGTAAATACGAAATATCTCTGCAATATCGTGACATAATGCGACAAATTCGTGAATAAACTTTGAATTTGATAGTTTCGATAAAAGAAAAATCGCATTCTGCAAAAATTACGGAATATCAAGAGTCATTCCTTATTTTGCCAGTTGAATCAACGGAATTTTACCTCAATACGCTGTTAAGTATTCTCACACTTGTTGGAACTTTTTATCACGTGTTAAAAATCTGAAAATTCGCATATGCTGCTAATTCCGCCGCATCTTCATCCGAAATGTCATTAAAAAATTTTAACAATGTGTTAATCCATACATAGAAACTCTGCATATAAAGAAAGGGATGATTTTCTCGTCACCAGGTTAAAGCGTACGACGCCGATACACCACCGTACAACGACCAGGTCAGATATTTCCTGAAGGAGGGAGACACGGATCTGTTTCGCATTAATGCCAGCACGGGAGATGTTTTTCTGCTGAGACCACTCGACAGGGAAATGGTCCCCGAGTACACTTTAACGCTCGTTGCAATGGATACAGGTAAATTAACAATTCCACTTCTTCACCCTCGTTTTTCCACCCACTTTATGAGCCTTAAATACTCGTCCAGTGCGGTATCCTCGATGGAATTCTTTCCCCCAACGGATGTTTTCCCCCTTATAAAACCCCCGAGACTAGATATTTTTCAATTTGTTCGAGAATAATCGTGTTAACAGAAATAACTTCACTCTCCCGTCAATTACTTCCCAGTTTTTTCTCCCTCTCCCCGATTAATTTTACATTTCACGCTCTCGCAAATTAATTACTGCAGCGAAAAAAAAAACCACAAATTATTCGGCCCGATGTTTTTACTCAATGTCAGTGTAAAAAATGTCCCTCTAATGGTTAAATTGCGCAATAATGTTGGCTGGTGTGTCGCATTACTGCCGCAAAAGTTTAATCCCCCCATCTGACTCAACCAATAGTCACATAACTCGACATTAGAAACGATCCAAGCGCGATTCTACGACACTGAATAGCCAGAAGCAAAGAGATACGTAGAGTCGATCGGATCTCTCAGGCGCGTTGCCCACCGCGTAAATTCCGCTTGGTTTAGCGCGAGAGATAAACATATACCCCTTCTCAAGTACAAACGAATAGCGGATGCTGGCTGAGGTGGGGTTTGTTGTGTTTGATACCTTGAATAATGAAAAACAAGGTAAAAGGACGTGAGCTAGCGTCAAACGTTAAAACGCATAAACCCCGTAGGAGCCTAATTCTCGGCATTCCAATTTTCCCCCGCATTTTTTTTCAACATTTTTTAGGTTTAAACCATTCAATGTGCCACCTTCTCGTGTATGTATCTATCTTATACATCTTGTGAAACGAGAGAGGGAGAGGTTTATACCTTCGGGGTAGAAATAAAAATAATAATGTCGGGGGAGAGAGCAACACGCACTTGTCGTTTTACACGTAATTCCTTCAAGTGAAGGAAATCATTTTTTTCTACTCGCCAGATATCTGAATATTTACGAAAAATAACAGCTTTCAGCAAATTTCTTCTCGTTTCGGAAATTATTGTAATTATGGCTAATTGGAGGTAATTGTAATGTCTTTTGGAGATTATTTTCGAATTTGGGGGAGTTATTTTTAAATTTTTTTTATGGAAAACGTGTCTGGATGAGTGATTGGGCAATTACACTCAGCGTTAATTAGAAAAATGTTGTAAATAATTGCAAGGGTTCTCTGCAAAGAATTACATTTTTCAATGATGAAAATGAAATTTCCATAGCTGAAAATGAAAGCACTCTACGACGAATTCCTATAATTTTCCAACTGTGGAATAAATTTACTCCAGACATATATTTATTCTGAAGATTTATTTAGCTAACAGACGCCTAAGACGATTATACCTGCAGAAATATTAAAATATTGAATTAATATTTGCATATTTCCAAAAAATCACTCCATTCAGCAATTTTCTTCCCATTCCTTCGATTATCACAACAACATACAGTTAACTGTCACCTCAGAATGTGAAAATTCTTATTTCCCATTTCCCAACCGCCAAACATCTCAGAAAAACGATTAAGAAATTATCGTTGTTCCCCTGTTTTCACCCCCTTGAAAAAATGTTTTAAACAATTTAATGGCACCTCTTCATGTCCATATCTACTTGATACATCTCCTCGCGCAGGGAGAGAGGTTTATCCCCAACGGGCAGGAAATAAAACCCAACAAAAAAACAACACCGAAAAAAAAACACCTCTCTCTCGTTCATGCAGTCACAGGAGCACGCACTTGTCCTTTTACACGTAACATCAACATTGCATACATATATTTCACTGAGCAATTAAGTCCGTGGGATAGCTGCAATGGCTAACATGTTACTTTACCCATCGACTGTCTCTGAATTAAAGAATTTTCCCCGGGAAACTAATGGTAAGGATAATACACTGCGCGACAGAATAAAGAATGATGAAATAAAAATTCATGGGAGGATGAAAAATAAACAGAATGAAGGATTCAACGAGAATTTGCGGTGGAAAAAAATATTCAAGAATGGAGAGAAATGCGCAAGGTGCAAAGTGCGATGTACAAGGTGTAAGGTGCAAGGTGCAAGGACCGTCAGAGGGGGGAGGGGTAAATGGGGTGGAGGGAAAAGGTAACTGAGGAGAGTTGAAAAGTAAGAGGTAAGAAAATGCCGCATAAAGTACTTGACTTGATGGGTGCGTATGCCACGGATACTGGTCTTTTGCCTCGTGGAACTAAGTATGAGACATAAAGTTTAAGACGACGTGGGGTTGTGCACAGAGGGAAGGAGGAGGCTGGGGGATATCAGGGTACTTCTTCTCTCCAGGATACAACAGTCTTTTCGTAATCGTATTCTTGTTTTTGGGCCCTCGGGTGGGAAAGAGATGGGAGGGAGAAGGAAAAAAAGACAAATGGGGGATTATCTGTGCATCAAACCCCTCCTGGGCAACCGATACCATGTTCTCATATTATTCTTATTACGTAATTTTTTTTTTACTCGCGTCGTCTCTCACGTTTTATCACGTCGAGGTACAAATTTTATTGAAAATATTTTGGAATGTTTGGAAATTCTGGAAGCCATTCCGCGGGAATTTTGTTAATTGTTAACGACAGCGGGGGGTTAATAAACGTTGAAGTATCAATTACATCCGCTGATAATTATTGATGATTAAAGAAACGGAGGGATCAATGAATTAACCGCAGCGATATTTCATTCTTGAATGTCTCTGAAAGAAATTCCTTAAAAGGGGTCATTTTTCGGAGATACTTTACTAATTCATTAATTTAGATGAGACGAAGATGAAAAATATTATTCTCATTACTTGAAAATTTAATTGAAAATATTTCGGAATGTTTGGAAATTTGTTAGGAACAGTGGGGGATTTAATAAACCTCGGGGTGTCAATTGCACTCTCTAATAATTATTAATAATTATACAAATCGAGTCTCTGAAAAAAAAATCTTAAAAAAGGTAATTTTTTTATTAATATTTTACAAATTCATTAATTTAGATAAGATGAAGAGAAAAAGACTAATGGGGAATTATCTGCGCATCAAAATCCCCTCATTCTTACTAAATAAAACTTTTTCTTTTCAAATTTCAGTGAAAATATTTCTGCATATTTAAAAACTCCGGGAGCTATTCCGCTCCCACTCTGTTGATTGCCAGTAACAGTCAGAAATTTGCTAAACCTCGCGGTATTAATTACCCCCTCAAATAATTATTAATAATTAAACAAACCGACTAATGAATGGATTAACCACAGCAATATCTCATACCGGATTTCCTGGTAAATGTCTCCCAGGCAATTTCATTATTTCTCACCCGAGAAATGTCACTCTTTAACTGCCATAGTAAATGCCAGAATGAAACAAACAAAACTGAACATAATCCCCCGTATTTTTTTTTCTTCTATTATTTTTCACTTATCCCGTTATCTTTATCCCGATGTGCGCATAACGCAAGAGAGAGCAGAATGTGCGTGCAGAAACGCGGGTCGCGTGACGAGAGTAGAAAACGTGGGATGTACTTATGTGTGTATGCGAGGGGTTGCTGGCGAGGAGGGGCAGGGGGAGGGGGAGGGGGGGGGAGGGAAACTGGGAAGAGGTACACCAATGCCTGAGACAAATAAAAGTGCCAGAGTATACGTTCATCTCAACAATATTTTCTTTTTTTCTTCGGATTTATTTTTCGTTTTGTTTTTTCAAATTCTCTCGACTCTTTGTCGATTTCTTTTTTTTTTTCAGTTTTGTCTTGTGATTTTTTTTTCTACTTCTTCCTTCCTTCTTTGCTGATGTCCAATCGTCGTAGTGTCGGCTTCAAGTAATACCCCCGGGGCTTTTTCTCTGTGTATACGTGGGTACAAGGGGGGAGAGGGAATCTTCTACAGAGGGAGGGGGAGAGGGAGAGGGAGAGGATGAAAACATGCTGTGGCCACATCAAGGTATAACATCGCTGAGGTGTAATCGCACACCCGCCCTCGGCGTTTCTAATAGGCCGGTCGTGCGACAAACCCCTGCCGTCTTATTATCCTATTTTCTTGGGGTTTTTGTTTTTATTAGATGGAGAGTTTCTTTTATTCAACGATGCACATTGTCCGGGGGAATTGGAGGTATGCCTGCACGTATGATTATTTTTATTCTCGCTTCTATCGTGGGATAAATATGACATTATAGGAGGGGCAGGGCGAGGGGATTTTGTTGGTGTTCGTGAATTTTAGGTTGAGTCATTACCGTTTTAGGAAGGTTAACATTCAAGTTGAGTCTCCCATCGAGTTTCTTCGGTGAAAGAAAAATTAAAATTCTCGTAACTTGATTCCCTCATGATACAACAATTAATTGCAATGAAAATGATTTTTTGCCGCTTAAATTCAAGTAATTAAGTCGTAAAATGCATGTTTGCCGATTTTTAATAAAACCCGGTGTCAATTTCGCGACTTTTCTTCTCATTTTTGAGGGGAAAACATTAAAAGCGAATGAGTTATGGTGATTTGCATCAATCATACTTGATAAAAATTTCCGGAAATCAAATCCCGTGGGACTCGAGAACGTTTTGAGTCTCCAGTTATTTTTATTTTCCAAGATTAAAAACGCACGGTCATAATCATGCTAAAATACACATATGCTAATGACTTTAGACTCCTTGTGGCACCGGACAATGCGCCTCACTGTGTCTGGCCTCCCTGAGTTGTGTATATTTCACCTCACGGTTTATGTTTGCTCGATCAACAACGGGGCCCCGAGCTGGAGGTTACCTACCTGTTTTTTCTTTTTTTTTTTGTTAATCAAAAGTCATCCGACGAATGGGAAAGGCCGAGGAGGTCGGAGGAGGGAGGTGGAAATTATTCTAACCCTTAGAGTCCTGACTCGACACATTTTTCTTTCCACTCTCTTTATTTTCGTTCTAATCGTTTTATCGTTGCTCAAATATCAAATGTTTATTTTTCAACAATATTTTCATTTGAATTTTACTCGACATAATAAATCCTTGCCTTGGTGCAACAGCTGAATCATTCTACATCAAACGG